AATAGCAACAAAAGCAAGAGGATATCAGGCCGATAATGTTTCTCTCAAATCTCAGTTTTCTGTTGATTGGCCACAAAAATGGTTCAATTACTTGACCTGTGGTCTTCCGGAGAGCCCCTTCTGTGCTCCAAATCTCTGGAGCCAGATCGAGGATGCCATTCATTGTGAAATTAGCTTACATTACTTACGTGTCCCTCAGATACTTTTTCACGGTGGGTTTCTTGAGAAAACGGGTTAATTTTCTTATTATCTAAATACAACGAAAGCCGTTTTCTCATAACGAGGGGATTGGTGTGTGTTAAAACTGATTACATCCTTCAATACCACTACAGCTGTAGAGGATTTATCAGTACTAGTCACTGCAGCCGATGTGTATTTCTGAAAATAATCCTGTGTTTAAAAAAACAATATTGTTGGTTTGATGATTTGGTTCTACTTCTGATTCATAAGCAACTAGACATATGCCTCCGGGTGTTTTCTGAACAAGCCCGGTTGTCATGGTTTTGGTTTATCTCGGAGTTTTTATTGATCTTATTTTTCATTCTTGTGTTCCAGGTATTTTGATTGGATTTGGGTTCTTAGATATTTCCAGTTTACCTATTTGTGTCAGTCTCCTTTTCCTTAGCTCCCTTCTTGCCGCTGTTCACACCTGCTCCCAATCTGCTAATTAGCCTGGTCTTTGTTTCTCTCTCCCATTTATTCTCCTCCTGCTCTGTCACTCTTGGCTGTTTTGTCATCATTACTTTGTCCCTTTCTACTTGTGAGTATTCTTGGTTTTCAGGATTTTTAGGATTTTTGTGGATTCATGTTTTTAGTTTTTTTTGCTTCTGTTACCTTTTTTATTATTAAACATTCAAGAAACCATCTCAAACCTTTGTCTGCATTTGGGTCCTGTCAAACCTCCACCCCACCACTGTCACAGTACAAACCAGATTTTATCAACAAAAAAAAAAAGACCTGCAGCAAGTGTTACTTGTTGCAGGTCTTTTAAACTCCAAGATGAATAAGAAAATAAAAATATTGTCTAGTGCAATAATAAAGGCAAATTGGAGTCTGATTGGAATAAAGTAGAAGTGAATATTGGGGCAGTTTTCTAGTGAACTGTAGTCAAGGCAGATCTGCCCTGGACTGGGAAACATCATCATCCTTTGTTTCAAGCAGAAAATATCAAGTACAAAGAAATACGCAGTACATACAAATAAACACCTCTTTCTAAAAATGAGTGGGAAGGAGAAAACTTATTTATTCTAACCTCATGCATTCTTAAGAGGGTGTTTTCAAAATGAAAAAGGCCCTGCAGTTTTCTAAAAAGATAAGAGGCTTCATTCAAAAATAACTTCAATATGTTTCACTTTTTCACAACAGAAGAGTGGTGGTCTTAGTCTATTAAACTAAAGACCTGTGCAGTTGCAGTGCCGGATGCTGCTATGCTTTTCGTCTTCACCTCATGTGCAACACTGGTGTCAGTTCAACTTGTCTCCAAATAATCCAACTTCTGCAAAGAAATCTGTAATCTAGCATGCTCCTTTAATAATAATCAACACCAGGGTCCTAATGGTACCTTAGAGAAAAGTGTTAGAGCTGACATCACTCTATTAATCTGACTAAATTAGAATAGAAGAACGGATGCTTAAAGAGGGAATGGTGCTTGAAATTGATCTTCTTTTGTTAACCTTGGCTGCTTCTAAGGAAAAACAAACTGTTTTCATCACTTTGCAGCAGAATTTCATCACAGGTAAGAGGTTTTGCAGGATGTTTCACCCATAAAACTAATTTATACAAGAGCAACTTTTCCCAACAATCCATGCACTAGAAAAACAATCTAGAAATAAGTAAAAATGTCCTAAATTACGTGTATTTACTCTTAATTTGAGTCGGTAAATGAGATAGTTTGCCAATGGAATGAGTATATTTACTCTTAAAATAAGATAATTAGAGGATATTTTCTTGAAATAAGACAATGCAATTGTGTTTTCTTATTTTAAGTGTAAATTGTCTTGTTCCATTGACAAAGTGTCTCTTTTACCTCCTCAATTCAAGATCAAATGCAATCATTTTAAGAATAGATTACTTATCTAGATTTAAATTTTTTCCAGTGATGAGTGACTTTCTTTTTTTTTAATACAGCCTGTTTCATAAGGATGAAAGGATCGCCAAGGGATTGACATCAAAACAATAACATTTCAACTCAATTTTAATGAAACCACACATCATAGTACCACAGGGAATTTTTGAAGGTTTGAAATAACTTGATTATTTCCCAATAAAACTCCTTGAATCATCATGTTTATAACTGAAGTTCAATTTAGGAAACAAAAATTTTGCAAAAGATATGTCTGGCTGAGATACTAAAATATGAAAACATACAAAAAAAAATGTAAACACTTCAGGAAAAGGAAGTCTCAAGCAACAAGTTTGATTTTCTAGGCACTGCTTTATTTCGTCACAGTGTATTGAGTTAGTTACAATACAACATGAGCAACATTTACAGAGAACGATATCATACATGGATCTACGCCTGATGTTATATGGCTTTAACTGGATGAAATATTTAGCTCTTTGCGGATCATTTGCAAATGATCAAGTTTCTGAGGATGCTGGGCTGAAAATTACAGCGTTTGACTTTTTAAGCAACTTACAAAGAAGAATGTGCAACAAAATGTCATCAAATCCTGGGAATTTAGATCAGCTTTTAAATATGTCTTTAAAACTTTTAGTCGGCAGCCATTATCTATACATTTTTTTAAGCTCAGTATGAAGATGAAAAATACTAAAAGAAAAACGGCTCATTTTCACAGCACAATGAAAATGTTTTGATTGTGGTATGATATTAGAAGAAATTTCTTTGTTGATCAAGAATATGATGTTTATATATATTAGTTTAGCCAAATATAGAGTTTAACTGCAGAGTCATCATTAGCTTGTTGTATTATATATTGTTACAAACAGAATTTAAAGGAACTGGTGAAGTTTGTTTGATAATATAACCAGAAAAATTCTTAAGCATCACAAATGCAAGAATCAGATATTTGCATCATCGTAATTTCTTTTATTTTCATTTTTGCAGTTTAAGGTTCCACAAAACTGCTGCAAATACTTCGAAAAACATATGTTCATTTAGTTAGAAAACTAAAGTCAGTACGATTCAGAGTAAAAGAGAAAGATGGAATTAAAGTCTATCTACCTCAAATTCACTCAAACTGTCATACAGTATTATCTGGTTTCAATCACTGTTCAACCTGACATCCATATGAGATTTAAAGTCTTTACTTTTTCCCCATTAAGAGTCAAGCTCACTTAAACTTGACCTATGATAAAATAATTTTCTCAAATAGTGGCTGCTATCATATAACAGTGACATGATCTTGACAAATCTAGAAGCATAGCTGAGTTCTAATATTTTGGAAATAATGTTTCTGTTTCAATATTGGAAGAAAAATGTGTAACTATAAATATCTTTAGGTCGTTTAGAGATAGAAATGAAGTAAAATAAGGATATAAGTAGTATCATGATGTATAACAATTTGGGTATTATATCAATTTATTGTTGTTGAGTAATATATCTCATTCCAGGGATAATCTTTTCCTATAGGTCACAGGAATTAACACATTCAGGGACATCAGTCACCCTCTTAAACGCTTAAATCATAGTTTTCTTTTAGAGAACAAGAAAATATCATTTACTGTGTTTCTTTTTAGAAAATAAAGCATAGATTTCTCAGAATATTGAGATAAAACCACCAACTAACAGTTTATGGTTATTCTTTATTTTATTCTGTAACTTTTTGCAAGACTACATTTTATCAAAAACTATTCTACTGATAAACATTAACAACAAAGCAAACTTTTAATCAAATGAATAAGCTAATAAATATACTGAAGCCTGTTCTTAACAGCTTACATTTGGTTTTGTAATGGTAGTTGTTGCTGCAAAAGACATTTGTTATATTATTTGAACAGAATGAAAAGGCATATATTTAGATCCATGCTGCAAGGCTGAAACAGCAGGCAAGCCAATAGATCAGTTTATTAAAGCTTAAATCAACCAAGCTGTAGCAAAATGCTGAGCGTTAAACAAAGAAAACATGGGATGAGACACAGACTTAAGTATTTGAGGAAACATTTCTTGACTTTTTTTTGATACACAGCTCATGTATTAAATTTAATGCTACAGTAAATGAAATAAGATATCTGATTGAATTGTATAATTTTCCTTTTGACCAAAAGAATTTCCAGTTTTCCGGGTTTGCATAGATGCCATTGCCACTATATTCCTTGATATCAACACCACTGTTTCACTGTAATCAATCTGTCTAATCAATCTGTCTAAGACAACATGAATTCTGAATTATGTTTCAAACTTATTACTTTCATTTGATCCAATACAAAGTGATATTAACATAAAAAACATATAATCTGACCTTTTCTTTGTAGCATCTACCAAACATTTTGGCTGTACTCTAGTCCTGCAAATTACCACTTTCATTGTGTAGGAAGAAAATTTAGCTTTTCGATGTTTTCTAGTTTGGGTAAAATAAGTAAAGGAGTTGGTTCTTCTATTAACAGCATATTTAATCAATCTTTTCATAAAATTGATATCCGACAGATGTGTCATGATTGCAGAAAAAAACTTATGAAGAGCGATGGTGTTGTTTGGAAAGTCCAAATTCAGCTTAATCGCACATAATTACCATAAGACAAAGGAAGTAATAACTTGAATGTGGGGTCAAAAAGTGAAAATGTAATAATAATGTCTCCAGGAGAGAGTTCCAAGTCAGGAACCATCAATCAGACCCCACCAGTGGTTGATGACACTTGAAACAAAAGCAGTATTCTGAAATACTAAAATTTCAGCAGCTTTAAGGTAGACATTGCAATTTCTTCTCCTGTTCTACCAGCATTATTACTCTGATATACTTAGGAATCAGAATTCATACATTCTGCCAAAAACCCAATGAGAATAACTCAGCCAGCCTCACTTTTTCCCACATTATCAATCATGTGGCTAATGCAACAGACATATCCATAGAGGGGAATTAAAACTCTCAAAAGGCATCTGCATACAAAGATTCTGTCTGTACCATCACCTGAAAAACAAAAAAAAACAGGTGATTGTACACCTATTGATTATTGTCAAACATCCCTAGTTAATTTATTTAATCTGTGGACATTAGAAGCTATTATGTTGTGACAAAAGACATAATGTGCAAATGATCGATGGTCCTCTTAGTGGTCTGGCTGTTGTCTTCCTGCAAGATGTCTCTGCGTTGACATTTTCTGCTCAAGTCCTCTTCATTTACCCATTGGCTGTTTCTATGTACTAAGATTCTGTTCATCATTTCAAGGAAAATAGAAATATTAAAAAAAATTAAGTACTCATTATTGTTTTTGCTGTTGTTAGCAAGTAAGCCACATTTTCTACTTATTCCAAGCAAAATGCCTTTATTTGTTATTTTAGAAAAAATATGCGTGGTTAAAGTCATAGTGTTATGGGCTTCCATGAGCGTTCAAATACAGTATGTTCTCTCTCTCGCTCGCTCTTTATTTTTTTATATATATATATCTATATATATATAGATATATATCAAAATATTATCATTAAATGCGCTACCAGGTTTACAGGCATTGTACAGCTCAAAGTTACATTTTTTCTAAATATTTACAAGAGGTTCTTAACAGCTTTAAAGCAGAGTGGAAGGGTTTTTAATAATATGGAGTCCCTGTGCAAAACAAAAGCCTTTAAATATTTAGCAGGAATGGTTGATTTTGGTTTACGAACCAGGAAAATTACTCCTTATTGTCTGACACTTTGGGGTTTTTTCAAGGAAACAAATAGAGAGAATGCCGCCTGAAACCATTCATGGCTTGGTAACCGGAATTACTGAACACCTGTAATAAAACGATTTGGAATGTATATATGCATCGCTCATAGAGCTAGAACTACCCATAATGCAGCAGTGTTTTAATGCTACTATGATAGTTAAGATGGCAGCAGAAATGGAGCAATTAAATGATGTACTAAATGAGCTAGATATATCTTTTAAAGCTTAAAAAATGGTTGCTGTACAGTTGTTCTTTATTTTCTTGTCTTTAAGACATATTTGCATCATTTGTAGTTTTCTGACTGGTTCTAACCAGTTTCCGCTGAACGAGGTAGTCTCACCCTTTGAAATTTGTCTCTACCTGTTGCTTTTTAGACTAATTTGCTGTGTATATGGCATAAATAATTCTGACTTGTCAGGCTCAGGAACATTACAAGGTGTAAAAAAACAACAAAGATTTGCGACGTACAATCCAAAATGCAGGAATGTATGTATAGCATTGAATACAGATATGGAGACAGTATGCACTGGCTTTGCTGCTATGATCACAGCCTCTCCTTTTTCAAGAAGTGTGTTCTGTTACAGAGGGGTTTGGTTCTTTTTCATTTCAGTCACATTGGCCTTCTCCACATTTCTGTTGCAGGACAGAACTCGCCTTCAACTAAAACTAAAAGACAAAAAATTGAAAGCTGTGTAATCTAACAACCCTTATCAGCATAATACAAGTTAAATTCTTTACTTTTCAAATAAATGATCTTTTTCAATACATGAATGATGAATAAAATTATCTAAATGGGTACTTCTTCTCTTTGACAATCAATATGCTACCAAAAGCTGCCCTTTATATTTCTATTGCTGTATTGAAATATAGGAAAATGTTACTGAGAAGTTCTTATGCCACAGACCTGTATAAAGTTATGTGCAGCCTTTCATGGATCCAAATGAACTTTTTTAGTAAGAAAACAATCAATTTACAGCTGGAAAGGTTGAATTAAGAACTGATGTGTTAACCTGAACAGGGCATTAACTCAATCTTTTTTTGCAACACATAATTCATAAAAGTATAAAATCTGTCTGCCCTAAAAACAACTGTCATCGTTCCTGATAGTCCACAGAAAAGGAGGACAGTGCGTTGTATTTTTAAAGGTACGTTCCCTGATTCTTCAGAATAACATTAATCACTTATTGTTCGGATAAGTTACTGGCTTTTCTGAGAAAAGTCAAGGAACCTATTTTCCAATTGATTTAATTCCAGCTGCAAAGTGTAAAGCAAGATATCAATGCAAAGTGGCAAAGAGAAATATTAGGGCTGTTGTAGTAAAGATTAATGGCAATAGTTCCTCTGTGTAGACTGGAGTTTGTACATGTGCAAACAGTATATTACAGCTAATTTCCAGAAGAAATAGCCAAACTTTGATCCTGTTTCCTGATTGCTGTGCAGGGAAAAGGTATTGAAGCTGTTATTACTAATATGCCATGCCTCTCTGCAGCCGGGCCTTTAATATTATCAAAGCAAAAGTTTGCAGTGTTATTTATAGCTTATCTAAAAGCAGCTGTTTGCAGATGTTAAACTCCAGCTAATTTGTTTATAAATAAGCATTCTGTTTTATAAATACAGATAAGCAATCCAGTAAACTAGATTAAAAAGGCCAAAAGCTGTAGGAAAAAATATCCGCGAGTACGAATCTATTTTGGACACCCGTACGTGCATCCTATTTTCTCGCCAGGCCCCCGATCGACAGTCGTCAAAGCAGCAGAAGAAACTGGCGCAGTCTTTTCCATCTAAACAGTCATATGCATAGTCGTCATCCTCGTGATATGGCACAATGTTGTTCATCTGCAACAGGGACGTTCCAGGTCGGATATTTACCATGCTTGGGACTTTCTGCTGCAAAGGAGACAAGGTTACTTTCGCAGCACTAATAAGATTCAAGACTATCTGATTGAGAAGAATGTTTGTACCTGAGCACTGTTGTTTGCTTTACCCTTCTTGGTCTGCCGGTTGCTGGTGAAGTAGTGCAATGTGCCGTATTCCATGAGAGCCGCAAAGGTGAAGATGAAGCAGACAGAGACGAACAGATCCATGGCAGTGATGTAGGAAACCTTCGGCAGAGACTTTCTAGAGATGGTGCTCAGAGTTGTCATAGTGAGTACTGTAGTGATTCCTGCAGAAGGCAAGGCAAGGCAAATTTATTTGTATAGCACAATTCAGTACAAAGACAGTGCAAAGTGCTTTACATGATTAAAATACAGGAAGATAAAACAGAATCAAAGCAAGTAGGAAAAAATAAAAAAAACAAATAAAATAAAATAAAAAATGCAGAAACAAAAAAAGAATATTAAAAACATTTGGATTAAAGAAAACATGTTTTTGTTGAACTGTTTAACTAGAATAGTCGAAGGCAATCCTAAACAAATGTGTTTTTAGTCTTGATTTAAAGGAACTCAGGCTTTCCGCACTTTTACAGTTTTCTGGAAGTTTGTTCCAGATAAGTGGAGCATAGGAACTAAATGCTGCTTCTCCAAGGGATCAAATCCTGAATTAGAAGTCAAATGCATCTATTCACAAGGTAAACATAAAACCAGGAAATTCTGCTGGATAGTTGGATATTGAGTTGGAATGCAAGGAAAAGATGCCTAGTAACTGGAAACAGTCATTACAAGAACTGTATAATAATTGGTCTGAAAACAAAATGTTGTTTGGTTTTTTCAACTCAGCCAACTTAGCCTATATCATTACAATGGTAGTGATGCTTTAGTGTCTAGATTTTTACACAGTGAATGAGATTATGATTAGTATTTTCAACATTAAGGTTTTTAAAAATTGCAAATGTAGCCTAGGTACAGCGGTTGTTCCTTCAGTCAGCAACTCTGGGTCGGGGTTAAAAACAAAAAAAGAGAAAGCTGATGTTATTACAGCCATGTTCCTCTGATTTATCCTTTATAGGGCATCCAATTCTGCCCAATTATGGTCTATAAAAGATAACAAAAAATGGTTACAATTTTTAAAACTCACATTTAAGGTAGAAGTTTGGTTAATGTGCAGGACCCACATAGAGGCTGCTAGTTATTAATACTAATGCTAACAATGCTTTTTGTTAACATGAGATACTGAAGTTTAAATCAGAAACGTATTATTAATAATTATTTAGTCTTTGTTTTGAAATGATGATAAAATCCTGCTATTACTCTCTCACACACATAAGCCCTGGTCGACTAAAGATTTGCAGGAATAAAACCCTGTGTGTACTTGGCTCATCTCCTGACCAAGTGCGTACTGGTTTAAAGTTTGTTGACTTACATCTACAAATCTAGACATGTTTGCATGTTTTTTTTTATCAACAGTTTATTAATTCTTATTAAAAGTCGGGTACAAACTTCAAATTTTTGCAGCCATTCTGGTGAGAAGAAGGCATATAAAATGACAGACAAAGGAGAAACATTACATATTTGGACTGGCAGAAATGAAAATAGCAGAGGCATATTGTCCATTCCATATCCATGTCTAGCATTTCTCCATGGGCGGTGGATTTATTTAAGAGGGTTAGAACTGTGGGGGTATCGCTCTGTGCAGCACTTGAACAATCGTACATTTATTGAAGAATAACCAGATTAAGTGGCTCGTAAAAAAGTCTGTTTCCAAGAACAAAAATAATAGTTCATGTAATAAAGTGCAGCCATGATGAATATGAAAGTTTCCACAGTGGAGTGAACATTTGTTATGAAACAAATAGCTTCAGTTTGTATTTTATGGCCACTGTTCACACAGCTAAGGTCGTCAAAAAAGGCTGCAACAGCTACTTTCACCTGTAAGTGTCAGTATTAGAGATGATGATGTATGATAAGAAAAAGGAAACATTGTTTTTGGAGAACTTAAACAATGTTTTCATTTTTATTGTAAAAAAAAAAATATTTTATATTATCTCAAAAAAAAAAAAAATTCTCCATTCATTAAAAATGATTTTCGTCATCTGGTGTGTTTAGAAAGATGACATGAGAGAAGTTTTTGAATGAAACTGCTTTCAGAAATTGAAAAACATTGACCTTCATTGGATCGTTTGTTATAATTTGATGCATGAATTTTTCTATTAAACTTTAAAACTATGTTTAACTGGATAAGTATGTATTTGGCCTATGATTGATGCTGTCTTTGCTAGTCTATTGGTTATCAATTCTGGTCAGATGTGTTATTTTATTGGCTCATAGGGAAAGAAAACGGGCAAGAGCTCAAAGTGGAAGAATGTTCAACTTTCAGAAGTCAATGTGTTAGGATTTCGAACCTAGAGATGTCCGAGCTGGCACGGCATCCTTGTTAATCCAGAAAGAGACCCAGGATAAGACCACAATCATACTGCAGGGAATGTAGGTCTGGATGGTGAAGTAGCCCATCCGCCGACTCAGATCAAAAAAGATTGTCATGATGACATATTCCCCTGAAAGATATATAGAGAATGATAGAATGATTTTTTTTTACATTGTTGCAGGTAAAGCTGCAGTATATAAGAGGATTTTGTCAAACCTGACTGTGTGTGCGCCTCATCGGTGGTATTCCTCATCCCTACAAAAGCAAACTGGTAGAGTCTCCAGTAACGCTGGTCGGCCACCTCCACAGCCCTCCGTTGCCATCGATATGTGATCTCGTTTTTTGGATAACCATCTGTAGATAAGCCCCAAACAGATTGTAACAAAAAATGTCCCTGGGTTGTGCAGTATTAAACATCATTCAATGTTTCTCACACAGACTTTGCATGAAAGATGGATTTAGCCACAGCATCTTTAAGTAAAGCTAATTTGAGTTTCAGATTATCAGTCACTTCTAGGGACCCAGAGAACTGACATGGTGAAAAGAAAAGAGATATAGTGTGTGCACAAAATAACAAGAAAAACTGTGTCCATGAAATGTACATAATGTGTGCACAAAATAGTAATTTATTTCCATGGCCGCAATATAGGTATAAAATGTGTATGGAAAACTAGAATAAAATCTTTCTGCAAAGCTCACCTATAGGAACAAAGGAACATGACAACATGATGTATAGAGATAGACTGATCAAGTTTTCTTTGGGGAGATGAATACTGAAAGGCCTGGCATTGCAAGGAATTCCCAATAATCCGAGGGATTTAAAAAGAATTCTGACAGAAGGTCGCTTCCCCGACAGATGAACGATTCTGAAACAGTTCATTGTTGACCAAATCCAATGCTCTGGATGCTCTGCCAGTGGATGTATCAGATGTGTGCAAATACTTAAACACGAGGTAACGTAGCTGCCACAAATAAAGGCCTGCACATATTTGCGTGGACATTTGTTTTAATTGAGGTGTGGGCAAAGTAAAAGGTTTACATCCATATATGTAATGTCTCACTACACTGTTTGGCATTAGAGGACACTTCTTGCAAGGAATGAGTATTCATGCCAGACTGTGTTAAATGGGAATGAGCTAACAAGTTAAAAACTGACAAGGACACTCTCTTCAGTGCAGCCAGTCATAAGGACTTCATTTCGTTTTTTAAAGCTATTTGGCAAACTTGTCCAATGACGCCATGGCAGTGTGGGAAATGAAGAGATGTAGGAAATGGTTTGCTCGACTATGAAGGCTGAAATGTATGCGCAGACTCCATATGGCTTACAGTATGTGCACCGTCTGCATATCAAGTATGTGGAAGCCTATAGTTGCCTACTTTGTTGAAACGAAACAGTACCTCCTGGGAACACATTAGTATTTGAGAAGCACACATCTCTTTTTTTCCCCCTGTGTCAGTTTTCAGGCTCCGCACACAAACATTATTTTCTCTTTACAAAAAACCATTTACTATAACCATAGCCAGCTTAACTGTAAACAATATGATCAAAACAGGTGTAATAAAACTTAAACCTAATTAATGGAGTTGATGTAGAAATTCTTTTTTCAATGCCATCTTGGATGTTACACCAACATGGAGCAATTTATTACCTAATTTGTGATCTAAATGAAGGATAAAAGAGCTGGAAAAATAAATTGCTTTGTGTTTATTAGTCCTATCCCTTCTATTTGCTGCTATGATCTAATGATGGCCAAGAAGATCCTGAGACTTGCTTCGTTAGTGTTCTCTGAAAGGAAGAGCAAGAAGTTTTAAATTTCATTAACTGGACACGCATGACAGATTCTGAGATCTGTAAGGGCGCCCTGGACCTTTTCTTTTTAACTTCTATTAAAATGCTGCGATATTTCCTGCAACATGGAAGTGTTTCACACTTTCAGAATGTTTTGAAAAGCTCCTGGAAAATTATCTTAAGTAAACCCTTGAACTGACGCATTGAAGTTTATAGGTATTGTTGAGCATTAATCAAGCAGCAAATAAATTAGTTGCAAAGGATGAAAGATGACTTGTCAATTCAAAAGGACTAGATTATTTTTGTCTAAGTAGTAAAAGGTATTTCCTCTTAAAAGTTTTAAGAGAACAAGCAGGCTTGTAAGCAAATTTGGCTGCGTTTGAGGTGAGTGGACGGATAATTCAGTTTAGGAGGAAGCCCTAAAATCAATACGACTTCAAACTGTTACTTTAGTATTATTAGAAAATTCAACAAATTTACATCCTCAAGTTATGAAGGCAAATACAAAAAGCAAATGTACTGTGTGTCTAATTAGAAAAGCCTTTCCATCATAGTGGCTATGTCCTTCCTTCACAAAATCTATGACTGGTTGTAGCTCACAGGACACAGCATTAAGACAATGAAAAGGGAAGCATTCATGATGTCACTGACCTGTTCAGTCACAATAAAGTTTCTCAAACAAGCATATTATTGATTATTGTAAACAGTCTAGGTAGTTTTATATGTTAAAGTTGGCTAAAGTGGTGAGATGTTTATTCAGTCACTGGTACTATGGGAAAATATTTGATCCTCTTTACAGTATGCATTAGAAGATAGACATACCAATCGAAGTTATTCAGTTTGATTATTCTTTGATTTTCGACTTGTTTAATCTATGTAACACAAAAAAAGGCTAAAAGGTAATGTAGTAAACATGGTTGGAAAAGTATAAAATGAAATTGTTGGTTTAATTTCAGATTAGGTGACAGTGGAACTCCTCTGAAGGCTCAAAGGTCAGAGAAGACGGACTTTGTGATGAATCAAAATAGGCTAAATATACACATAGATTCACAATATTTTGTATTTCTAAGACTAGAGAAAAAAATAACATAGTAATCATGGTTGAAAATTGTATTTTTATCTACTATCTTCAAACAATTCTACAGAAGAATTATTTGTACAAGTGACAGTTTGAGCTGCCCTTTTATAATTTTAGCTTGCCTGAGAGTGATGGAAGAAGAATAGTTTAATAATAAAATGTAATTAACCAGTATCATGAAATTATCGAAATTATAAAAAAAGACTAAGTCTTCAATAAATGTCTCCTAATGACATGCTGGCTTAATAATTTATCATATCTTTCCAGCATTACTGTTAAACAAAAGTTAATTTCAAATCATCATTTGACCATTTGAAGGAGAGATATTAAATAAATGAACAAATATTTTCCTTATCTTCCTGCTATACATCTTAAAGATTTGCTGATTAAAAGACGGCTGATTGAAGGCTTCTCATCAGAACATAAATTATTGGACTTTATTTGGACTTTAATTAATTTTCACATGGATAATTTCTTGGCAATGCTGTTAGTGATGAAATATCAAATTGCTTATATCAATTGTTTTTAATTTTGAAGTTCACTCCTGACAGTTTTGTACTCGGCTGAGGTTAAAAGTTTTGTTTCGGCTTTAGTTTATCACAAACACATGCTGATTTGATGACATTTACAGTGACTGAACTGCCTCTGACATTTGACTTAAACTCAGTGGAATAGTATTTGTATATTCCACTGGTGTGTTGAAGATCAGGATTATGATAAGCCATGAGAGGCGAAAGCACAATGCAGGAGACAAATGAAGGTTGACACAGACAGCATGAATCAGACTGGGAAAGGGTGCAGAAATCATTAAGTCTTTCAGGAGAAATGGTACTGGATGACCTCCTCTTTCTGCTGGTGGAGCAGATGATAGATTAGTACAGCCTCAAGCAGATGGGCTCTTTGGCAGGGAGAATGAACACAGGCATTGCCCCTGTGCTTGCCCCTTTTTCTAGGAGAGCTATGGAAGTCAAGATGGCGGTTTGCAAATGAGAGAAAGTTACGTTTGACGACATACAGCTCGAAAACTCCAGCGGGCATGAGTGTTCATCCATTGGAAAGTTATGCAGCTTAAGGTAACACTCCGCATTAATAGTCAACCTGATAAAACAGAATTGTGACAGAGAAGAAAATCAACTTTCAACATTTTTTTTGTGTGTCTTTTTTCCAGTTGGAAATAACACCATTTAAAACAGACAAATAGATCACGCTTTGACAGACTGGGGTTATTTTAAAGAGAAACACAGATACACCACACTAAAGCTGCACATACAACAAATGTGTTTAGAGTTAACTTTAAATATGGAGCCAAAATCTATTTGAAAACATGGTCTCTGGGTTGTGTCCTACCTTAGCGTGTACATGACTCTCCCATTACTCCACAGCCTCAGAAGTCGGTTGGGAGTTGTGATCCAGTGGGCATCAGATTTTCGGGAATTCCTGAAGAAGGTGTCGGGAATCCAGATTTTGCCTACCATGTTACTATTGAGCATGAGCAGCTTCATTGAACTGTTGAACTTCAGTCGGCTGTCATACCACGTCTGGGCAAAGAAGATGTCAATGGTGTACTCCTGCAGGCGAAGGTTGTTAACAGAAATGACTTTATGTTAAGAACATATTTCCTACTTTCTGTTGAAGTCCCAGTGGACACACCTTGTTCTGTTAATTTTCAAAATTTCTTTCAAAACTAATGAGTTTGTATTTTAAACATTTTCACCGTGGATGAAGATCATGTTATGATGTCAAAATCCATTTTTCTGTTTACATCATGCATGACTAACAAACACATTTGTGGTTTGATCGAGAGAATGAAGCCTGCCTACACTACAGCCCCCTTAATGGCTATATCATCAAGAAGCTTTCTACAGAAACCTAGCGGTTGCATAACTTTCCACATTTTTTTGTTTTTTTCACAACAACAAAGAATACAAATTGGTTTAATTTCACTCCTCAAAGGTATTTTTTTGGGATGCAGCCTTGTTCTCATAAAGCTTTTTAAAATAATTAATCTCCTCGAGTTCTGCAGATGCCTGGTAAAGAGTTGTTTATTTGATTAAGGTGTTTAACACCTCTGAAATAATAGGCTGCTTACTCCTTACTGACCATAAGCTTCATTTATCTTTTGGGTGGAAAAGAAGAAGGGGTTTGATCAGGTACTTGACCAGACATCGGAACAAGAAGGGTTTAACGATGCGTTCACACTGAGTGCAGTGTCTGCTGTAATATCTGTCTGCACCATGGGGAGTCGACAGCATTTTAGATGCACAGCAGCTTCACAGCTTAAAGAGGATTGTGTCATCAAGTGGTAGGAACTTGAGCTTCTTTCTGCTGGACAGTTTTAAAATGGCAGACAGGGATTTTATCAAGCCAGTCACAGAGCTTTTTTTGCTGTGGTATGCTGAAAGCTGTCGATATTTATGTGTCCACCCCCTTTTCTCGACATGGATCCAGTCTGAGGAATACCACCAGCTACTCATAGAGCTCCGTCTAGATGAAAAGTCAGATTCATCTAGAGAGCACCAGTGCATTATGAATGTAAAAACTTTGTCTCCACTCAAGGTCTTGGGAAGATAATTTCCTCACCTTAATAATTTTTTTCTTTTTTGTAGGTTGCTACCTAATCCAATGCATATCCAAGTGTGCTTCAAAGGGGCAAAAGATACAGTACTTAAACCTGGAAACCTTCCTCATTGACACTTTCCAGCTCTTTCTAAGGGATCCCTAGACTTTTTCCCTAAAAGAAGTACCTAAACATCTCTGACTTTTCTGTGCTTACTGCTGTTTTGTGTGGGTTACTTGCACTCTGTGTGATGATTGGCTCATGCAAGGAAAAATAACTAAAGATATGCAAACTATTCCCTTTTTATGATTCTAATGTCATGAAAAATAATCCCTTTCATAAAAAAATTACTAAAAAAGGTAGTTTTGTGCAAGCCTGACGCAATTATGTCGACTGGTACATTTATATTTTATGTTTGTGCACCTCCTGCTAAATTTGTTTCAAATTTATATGAAAAAACGTATCTTGATGCTCATTCTGAAGAACTTTTTAAAGTATTCGATGCAATAAAAACAAGCTGTAGTTAAATCATCAGAAACATTCTTACCATGTTGATAGGATCCACTGGTCCAATACTGTTGACATAAACTGCTGTTTCAATCACTGTCGGTCGTACTGAAACATAGCATAGTGTTTACTGTAACCACAAAGAATATTCAATAAAATCAGCACAAATTAACTCAAAAATATACAAAAGTGAACTCCACTCTGAATATTGAGGGCATGTTTTCTCCAAAGCAGAAGTTGTTACTCTACAGCTGAATAACTGATTGGGATGTTTAATTTCTCCTTGAGAAGAGAGGAAGATGTTTGTTCTTTTAATCTATTTATGTTTATTTTTATCTTACCTCCAATGTCAGGTCGAAGTTTGTTGTCGTAACCCTGCAGCAGTTTATTCAAGATCAAAGTCACATCGCTTTCATAGACCTTAGGCGATAGCACCCAGGTTTTATTTATAGGAACATCTTCATAATCTTCATCCTCCTGTTTACTGGGACCAGTGGCTGAACTGAAAAGAGAGAACCCAATAAACATAGGTTTTAACATCAAAAGAGAATCAGAATTCAACAGATCCTAAGAACTGAAGGTGAAAATCAATGTCCAATATGACTCAAGCAGTTCTGTCTGTAACTTTTTCACCCTGAAAGGAAAGTGGAGGTGTTTGCTCACCACTTGGTGAGTCATATCACATGGTCAGCAAACTTCTATTAGACTGTGAACCTTGCCAAGAACACATCCTGGAGGTATTTATGCTGGAATGTGTTTGAGCATATGCCAAACACATTTTACTTTTACCCTCACACAACATCTCAGCACATCTAACTGATAATTTATATTTGGCTTTCTCATTTTTACATTGATTGGCTGCATGCATGGTTTTTATTTTTTTGGCAGCTTATTGCACTCTCCGTAAAACACAAAACACATTCTTGGTAAAGAAATCTACACTCCTTTAGTTTTAGGGCTTTATGAAATAAATAAAAAGTATCGGTTCTTTGTCAAATCCTGAAATTATTTCAAGTGTACAAAAAACATTAAAATATCCACACTAATATCCATTTATCGATTTTCCACCACGCTTATCCCGAGAGGCAGGGTACACCCTGGACAGTCCACCGCAGTAAAATACACCAATATATATATATATATATATATATATATATATATATATATATATTGCTGTAGATATATAAAAAAATCCTAAGTGTTTGAAGCGTCAGACATTATCTGGTCCCTCATATGGTCTATGGCCTGTAGTTATATGGAGCGTTATTATGACACTTTACTTAATGTTCAGCCATTCACACGATAATGGTGGCACTGTAGCCTCAATGGCCCTGGGGCATTCTGAAAAACACAAAGATGCCATACAATGTGTTATCTTATATCTAAATGCCTTAATTTGTAAAAGTAAAAAAAATCCTTATGAATACATTTAAGATTTGTATTTTCTCCCTGTTGTCAACCACATTGTTTAGTACGAGAAGAAGGTGAAGAATATGAAAATAAAACTATCAAGCAAATGTTGTAAAGGGGATGCATGAAAACAACTTTACACCATTGATATATTCGATCAGCGGTTCTGTTAGTCTTCTTTCTCGTGTTTTCGTTTAAAACTAATTGGTTCCCAACCTTAAGCCACTGGCTTGTAAGAAATGTAGCAGCTTCCTAAGGGGTTGTAGATTCTAGTTGCTGAATTATGGCTGATATTCATACAATTGTTATTTTTACTCTTAGTTCAGTAGAGTTGTAATCTTGTAACTTGTATTTGTAACTTTTCAACGTGTATTCTCACAGATTAATCATCTGAGGTCACATGTAAAAATATACATCTTCTATTATATAGTATTATATATTATATTTAACTAATTTAGGTTACTGACCTATACAACAAATTCACATATGTATACATCTTTATTTACATTTTTCTAGCCTCATACTGTACCCTTTGATCAAGGCGAAAGGCAATACGGGGGAGTTGTCTTACCCAATCAAACAAAGATTAAAACAGATGGAGCTCCATATTACAGTGGGATGGAGGCTGTGGGGCTGTTCTCTTTCAATGGGGCTCAGTTTATTAATGTTTGTAGATATTTTTTTTTAATCTTCACAGGTATCCTAAATTCCATGAAGAGCATTTAAATCATATTGAGGTCTGGACTTTCACTGGTTAGTTATGTTGCTTGTTTTCCCCCCCTCAAGACATTCTGTTTTACATTAGCAGCTTTGTTGTGGATCATTAAGATATTAATGCTCCAATTTGGATAACACTTCATCCGTTAGACAGATGGCATAATATTAGAGTCTAGAACATTAGCTCTGTAGCCTTCAAGTCTAATTCATGCAGTTACAGAAAAAAAATGTTTTCTACAAATTACCTGATAGTCCCTTTGAAATAGATGTAAGGCAACCATTACTTCTTTAACCCGTTAATCACCCATTGCCTATCAGAGGGCTCAAGAGACTTAAGGGTTTCATTGAGGATGAAAAAATTATTGCCAAGGTCTTTCCATTTTAATGTTGTTAATACACACTGTGATGTTTTCAAAAACAAATCGACAAAGTTCTGTTTTATAGAGGTGCTGAAATGATTTATTATCACTCGATTAATGCGTTTGATCAGCAACACCGAGGCATTTTGCTACCTCTTAAATCCTTTAACAGCGATTAAACGGCAGGGATGCTTTTCCATTTAGGCTTCATCCCTGTTCAGTTATTTGATGACAAAGTGAACTCTGTGTGATTTTGGACACATGATAACCAAAACAAGATAAGCAATAAAACAAAACACATAATGAAAATAAATATAACAATAAACAAGAAAGCTTCTCAACATGATTGCGAAATCATGCAAAAACACCAGGTGTTTTGAAACTCAAGGCTGTCATTAGTGCAGATGAAGGTGATGTGGTGCATAAATAAAATCCGTAGTAAATATTTGTTCAGGTGCTGCTGTAGAATTAACACATCTAAAACATCTATTCTATTTTTACCAGTAATGCTTCACTCTTGATATCTAGATTTTCAGAACAGTGGAGTAACAGCTTTAATGTTTGCTGTTTCATGTTGGATTTTTGTGATGAATACCTTATTAGCTGCATCTTAAGAAAAATTAACCTGGGAAAAAAATATTAAAAAACTGGATTTTTGATTGCATTTACTTTTATTGCTATATAGAAAAAAGTCTTAAAGCTTTTATCAGTTAGATTTGCACTGATACTACTCAACTGTGTTACACCAACCATGTTTCTCAACGCACTGAAGAAGAAGAATGTATAATTTTTTTACGCTACAATTAAGGTCAAACTGACATTTCCTTTGCCAATAATTAGTATTCATTTTTAGGCCACACAGCCATTGTTTGAGGAATCAGAGAACTGCTCTAATAAATTATGAAAATCAAGATCATTTTTGTTTTATGTACTTATGATAATGATTTATCAAGAAATATATTTTCATATTATTTAATATTTTAAAAACAGAGAATCAAATTCTGATTGATAGACAAAAAGTACACCCTTTTATAGGATGTAGGGATTATGTTTATAAAAAATGATATACAGTGTGACAGTAGATGTATTAATATACAAGAATAAAAAAGAGATGTTTATTGTGCATAATTTTATCTGATTGTTGGAGATTTATTTTTAGTTTTTTTTAGTTTTTACGGCACTAGTGGCTCATATTTGACATTAGGCTGACAGGAGAGAAGGGGGGAAAGACATGCGGCAAAGGACCACAGGTCGGATTCAAATCCTGGTCAGCCGCTTCGAGGACTAAGGCCTCTGTACATTAGCCGTGCACGCTAACCACTGCGTGGCGGAGTGTAGAAATATACTATGTGTTACATAAAACTATAAAATGACCTGTACTTTTATTGTGCTTTTTTCCAACTCTAGGGTCTCAAAAAGGCTTTACATTACAATCAGTCATTAATCAAATTAACGCAAGCATTCACACACAGATGGGGGGCAAGCTACATTGTAGCCACAACTTTCCTGGGGCCCACTGACAGAAGTAAGGCTGCAGAACACAGGCGCCATCAGACCCTATTACTAACTGGGCAATTTGGGTGAAGTGTCTTGCCCAAGGAGACAACAACTGAGACGAACAGAACTGGGTTTCAAACCAATGACCCTTTTGCCTAGTCACCCATATTAAATGCTCCATTAACCCGCACATTTGCTCAAGTTGCTAGACTTTATTCTGGTGCCTCACAGAAATAGCTTACCCACGTTATTAGAAAACAGTGTCACCTCTAAAGGAGTAATGAGTGGGTAGAATCCTTGAATATCCAATATAATATTTTCCAAACGGTTGACCTTGTTGTTGTAAGAAATGAAAAAGGGGGGGGGAACAACTGAAAATGTGTAGAAACAGTCTGATTTTAACATTATATACATTTTACAAATAAGGAAACTATTTTAAACCTAAATACCTAACTTTGCATTGTTTCTTAAGAGCAAATAACATACTTCAGTTAACTTTAGTAACATTGTGCAGTCACTTTTCGATAGAACAGATTAATTCACATTTTCATACCCAGCATTGAGATGCAGAAACTGCATTTCTCTGTAAATTTTTTTACTGTTTTAGATTTTAATTGACTGTTTTCCTAAATTTAACAAAATAAAATACATCTAAACCTAAAAAACTGTCCTACCCCACAACTCATATACATCCCTAATCTGAATCTATAATTATACGAGGAGCTTTAATAATATACCTGTTTAAATCCAATATTAAAGGCTGGATGCTTCATCCTTTCCCCACTGCAAAATTCATTGTAATTGTTCCAGAGATTGTGCTGCGAGAGGAAGTTCAACATTACTAGGACTCCCCAAAGGCAAAACCAGCTTTTAGCTTATAAAGCACTGTTCTGACCTCTGCTTTTATTCCACCAAAGAAAATGAAACATCAGCATTTTTCAACCTTACAGAAAAAAACATAAATGTGCTCAATATTGTTCTTATCTTTGCACAATCCAAGCACAAAGTTAAGTCAGGTTGGGTAGGAAAGGAAGATTGGCTGAACCCAGTGCACACAGCAGCACTTTCAGAATGTAACTTAAACAGAGCTATAAGCAGTTTTATGTGTCTGTTATCTGATGAGTCCCGCTGTTTCTATTACAGGCCGTTCCACATGCTTGAACTCCCAGCTTGTGCCAAACGATGCTGCTCTTGTAGTTGCTGGGTGATAAAAACAGACCTAATACTATAAGAATCCCTGCAGACCTGGCATTCAGCCCAGGATTTAAGCTACTCTTCCCTGAATGACTTCTGAGAGTCATGATCTCATCCATGACACAGTGACCTAATGTGTGAAAAATCTGTCTGTGTAGTCACCTTATAGCCTAAATAAATCCGCTGACATTGAGCAAAGATCTAAGTGCTGACGACAATAAAAAAAATAATGAAACTACACAGCTTGAATAATGAAAAAAACTATAAAGCAGTATAAGAGATTAAAATGAGAAAAAAAAATCTTTCTTTTTGCATTAAACGTTGG